AAAAATTCCTAATGAAGAAAATATTTCAGGAATAGATTGTAAGTTTATTTACAAAAAAAGTATTAGTTATTCAACAGAGTTAATTTTTTTATTTCTTTTTTTAGTGGTTAATTATTTTAGAAACAAAGAACATCAATATTATTATGTTAAAAGGTGAATAATCTTTATTTCTATAATTTTAATTTATCTAACTGAAGTTAACAACAAATATACTTTAATTAGTAGTTAGTAATGATTCAACCAAAGAGAAGAAAACAAATAATCAATCAAAAATAAACAAATCTAAGAGGTAATTTGTATTGATTTGTCTGTTATTTTTACATAAATATCATGCTAAATAAAATTTTAAAAACTAGAGTGACTGCTGAAAACACTGAAGTTTGTCAGAGTAAAAGAATAAAAGATAAAGATAAAAAATATACAGAAACAATAATTATCACTTCTGATGATTGTTAATTAATTATTTATTACTTTGTTTATATTTTTCTTATTAATAAAAATAAAGGACCATTCATAGTAACCGTGATTTTTTTTTCGCGCATAGTGCGTATAGTGCGCATGGTAGCATAGTGCGCATAGTGCACATAGTGTATATATCATAGGGAGGGAAATATCATAAATGCGCATATAATAACAAGAAAGTAAATGGCACATTTAATTTTTTTTTAGAAATGTTTATTAATAAGCAAATGTCTAAAAAATATATCTAAAACCTTATGCGTAGCACACTATGCGCAGCATATCTCTAGGTAATAGAAAGAATGACCATACATATCTGATAAACAATTTTTAAGTCGTGGTATGTTATCTTAATGTAACTTTTATATAGTGATGTAAGCCGGCTAAAAAAAAATATCTCTTAACATTCATTTTTACGTCTGGAAATTTTGGTGCAAAATTCAATGGCGTAGATATTTAATTGAGTTGGGTCTATCTGCATCACTTAAAATGACAAAAAAACATACATTTGCTCAAAAATAAATAAATACAATACTCGTAGCAGGATAAAAGCAACAGTTGGAGTTTCTATTCGTAATACAAATTCTCATTCGAATTATTATTATTCGTTTTATTATTATTCGAATTATTCGTTTTGTTCGTTTCATTCAAATAAACTTTCAATATAATTCGAATAAAACAAATAATTCGAATAAACCTTATTTGAATCATTAAATGCGGGATATTATAATAACAATAATAAATAATAATAATAATGATAATGATAACAATAATAATGATGATAATGATAATGATGATAACGATACTAGTGTAGTAATAATAGCGGTAAGCTTTGTAGTTTTTTCATCAACTGGGGTTCTTGACTGGCTAAGAGTTTTTCGGCTTAGGCGGCTAAGGTTTTTCTACCGGCTTACATCACTAGTTCAAATCTTTTTTGCGAAAACCGACCCTATCCCTAAATTTGCGGGGAAAATAACCAACATATCCACATTACCAAAGTAAAGTTTTTTTATTTCCTTATAAATTTTTGCCGACATTTTAATACAGTCAAACCTCGATAAGCCGAATTACATAAACCAATTTTAGCTTTATAACGATTAACTAAGATCATAATATTTTATGATAAAAATTCGGTTTATAATTACCTTAAAAAGTAAATATCCACACAGGGCCTGGGGTCCTATATGAATAATAATGAATACTAATTCAGTAATTATAAACCGATCCTATTTTTGTGATTCGGCTTATCGAGGATTGACCGTGATGTTCTTTTTTATAAAATTTTATAACTCGAAACAAGAATAAAAAGTATTTTTTATAAAACCTTATAAAATCTCTAACATTAAGTTAGAGAGTAGACTCATTTGATACTACTCTTATATCTGTAGACAAAAAGCTAGTTAGTGAAATTTTACTACAGGAAAAATGATCGACAATCCTCATACATGTAATAAATTATAAATAAAATACAATAATTAAAGAATAGTAACTTCTAATTAATATCAAATTTTTTTATATGTTATATGATCAATTATATTTGTATTTATTCTTTATGAATTTTCGAATTCCAAACTCGAATCTTTTAATAATAATAATAATAAACAAACAAAAATTAGAACGATTATATTGATATAAAAACCTACCATTTATTGATTTTTTTTTAGAAAATAATAATAATTTTTCCTTCTTTCTGGATTTCTAATCATTACAAAAACATCATTCAACTGTCGTTTCATTTTCCTCCCTTCCTAATATATTAAAGAAATTTATTATCCGTCATTATAATTACCTATTTCAATACACGCACACATATAATCTATCAGACAAAATGATAAAAATGATAAACTTTGTACGAAATGATAATTTAAGGAAAAATAAAATAAAAGGTCCAGTCGTTACCGGTGGAGCAATTAACACATCTTCAATTACAACTAAAGTTACTCGAGCACCTCAAAAAAACCCAACTCAAAAAAACCCGACTCGAAAAAACCCGACTCGAAAAACCCCAACTCAAAAAACCCCAACTCAAAAAAACCCAACTCAAAAAAACCCAACTCAAAAAAACCCAACTCAAAAAAACCCAACTCAAAAAAACCCAATAACTCCAATAACCCCAATAATTCCGACAGATCCAACAGCTCCGACAGCTCCAACAACTCCAACAATTGTAGATGATGATAACGCTAACAATAGTGACAGTGCTGATCCACAAAATTCCGTATCTCCAATAAGTCCAGTAGCCATAATGATAATGGTTTCAATATTTTTACTGGTATTTTTTACATTAGGTATTTTACTATATCGTAAATATTTCTATTATAGGAAAGCGAGAAAAATAGATCTAGAGATACAATCTAAAACTATCAAATTACCTATAAGTGACAATCATCATCGATTAAGTATTGGTAATTGTAGCAATGATAATAGTCCTGCTAATAATAACAACGGTGCTCTTATCAATGGTAGCATGGGAATTGCTTATAATGAAAAATCTCTTGAACCGGTCAAAAGATTTCCAAATATATCGCCCGTAATTGAATTAAATAGAATATCTACTTTGAAAATAAATTATAATAAAGTTGATAATTCTAAAATAAACACTCCCAACACCTTTAATGCTAATAATAATAATAATAATAACTTATCACCAGGATTCCATGACAAAAACGATGGTAGAATGACTTTAAGTGATTATAATCGTTACCCTAGAAATAATAATGATAGATATTAGTAATACAAATAGAGGTGGTCAAGAACTTCCAATATTGGTAAACCCTTAACTGACAAATTTTATAATATGAGAGATAGTATATTTATATTTAAATAATAATTGTGTTAATTATAATTTAATAATTTTTTTTCTTTATTAAGAAATAGACTTGTAAATTTTTTATTTTTATTTTCACTTAATAGACCTTACGGTTTATATTTAACTTAATATTAAAATAAATGCAGACTTCAAACGAATTGATAAATTTTCTAAAAAATAATATGACTTCAGCAATTGACTGTGCCGGTGTCCTCTCTCAACAATTTGTAGGAACTTTTCCTGGATTTCTGCAGAGCGAGTAGGACTTATACCCTTTTAAAGAATTATTTTGGAAGTTTTTACCTTGCTTTAAGTAATACTATCTATTTGCTATTAACGTTTATTTTTCCTTTTAAGAAACAATAATTAGCCATCGTTGTTTTCAAACTATATTTTTAATCCATATAATTCGATCACTCGCTCACTGCAACGTTTAACGTTTAATTCAAAATTTTGCCCTATTTCATAACCTCGTTCTGTACTTAATGCATTTCCTTGTTTGATCACATTATTAATTATTTCAATACACTCATTGTTATTTAAGACAAACAATTTCAATGATGATTTTTTAGTTTGATTATATCAGGAAGCCCATTATTCTCTTCTATTTTTTTGTTTTTTAACATATATTGTTGTGGTTTCCTGAAGTGCCTCTCTATATCGTTTTATATTGGCAGCGATCGATATTCACTCCTCCTATTGAAAAAAAAGGTCCAACATAAATCAATAATAAATTATGAATAAATTAATTGATAAAATCAAATTATTAGTAAAAAAACTCATACAATATAAATGTATTAAAAGTTTCAGCATATTTTTTATTTAATGTAATTGGTCTTGTTCAATATATTTATTAGACTTTTGTAAAGTCTTTTTGAAGATCCTTTAATTAGTTTTCGCCGATTTCCTTCCCTTTTTACCATATTGGGAGCTGCAAAAGTCCTTCCGTAAGTGCAACCCCCCTGGGAATTGATGAGAGCGTGCATTTATGGAGGGATGCATTTATAGAGGGGAAGAATTTTATTGGTTGCATGTGATACTAATAAAAAT